GAGGCTGGAGCTCAACACCATACCTAGACAAAAAGACTGTCACCTATTCTGAGGGTCAATTTATCTTTCCTTAAAATCATTTACTCTTAATTGCCTGCATCTCTCTTCCCTGTCCCCCATGAAGAGAGTAGATTAGCTTCTGGATCTTACTGTGTTTTGGGGAGTTCACTTTTCTTTCATGTGATGCCTTTGTATACATAATAAATTTTCCATACATTTTTTTCCTATTAACCTGTCTTCTGTCAGTTTATTTTGTAGATTCTTTTATTTTGAGCCTTAAGAGGGTAGAGTGAAAGTCTTTCCTCCCTTATACATCTCATTTAAGCATGGCTATCTAACAAGGTATATATATATATATATATATATATATATATATATATATATATATATATAATCTCCTTACAGATGAGAAAACCGAGGCTCTGCAAGACAAGCAAAAATCACTTGTCCTAAATCATACAACTGGTAAGTAAGTGAAAAAGCTGAGATTCAAACCAGTATCTAAGTCCAGAAGTCTGCATTTCACCCACTATCTGCTTATCACTAAGTGGATCAGAGAGTTGCCTCTCTCTCCTCTAAGTCTATTTATTCTGTAGATTAACCATAACTAAGAGGTATTTAATACCAGCCCCCCCCCCCCCCCCAAATCCATAGCATCTTCTACTCAGTTGGTGGGTATTAAGGGGTTGTTACCTGTTTGTTTGTTTTTTTTTCTTGTACTAGGGATTGAACCCAGAGGTATTTTACCACTGAACTACACCCTGGGCCTTTTTATTTATTTTGAGATAGGGTTTCACTAATTTACCCAGGCTGGCCTCTAACTTCCAATTCTCCTACTCCATCCTCCTGAGTAGCTGGGATTATAGGCATGTGCCCTTCTTTTATTTTTTTCAAGACAGGGTCTCACAATGTTGCCCAGGCTGATCACCAAATCATGGACTCCAATGTTCCTCCCATCTCAGGCTCCCAAGTAGCTGGAATTACAAGCCTATGCCACTTCACCCCACTTGTGAATTTATTTTAAATATTTATTATTCAGGGGTGTCAACTAATATTATTTTAATATTAGGCCCATACAAACAAGAGTAGGAAAGAATACTTGATAGGAAAGAAAAGCCAGATGAGGTACTGCAAACCAATTATATTTGAATTTCTGGATTATTTACTTTTCTGAATTATCTGCAACTCCCACAGTAGCACAAATAAAAGAGTAATTGCACAATTATAATTTAGTTCTGTTTCCTTTTTATCTTTCCATAATATGTTATGTAGCTTGGCACCCAGGAGGTGCTTCATAAGTGGTACTGACAGGCATCCTTTGATTCAATTCTTGTTTTGGAATTCTAGGTAGTCTAAGTCACTGTGTCCAACTTCATGCCCTATTCATCTGAAAAACAATTCTGGCGCCTACTGTGTGGCAGATGCTATGCTAGGCCCTGGGAATACCATAATGGAAAGATCTTTTTTCTTCTTTTTTTTTTTTTTTACCATCAAGACACTCTCAGTTGCTGATTGTGATGGTGCTTACCTATAATCTCAGCTGCTCAGGAGGTTGAGGCAGGAGGATCACATGTTTAAGGCCAGCCTCATCAACTTAGTGAAGTACTGTCTCAAAATAAAAAATAAAAAGTGCTAGAGATGTAGCTCAGTGGTAAAGTGTCCCTGGGTTCAATCCCCAGTATTGCCTTTAAAAAAGAGGGTAGGGGGATCACAGTTTAGTGGAAAGAAAACCATGTGAAACATTCAAAATATGATGTGGTAACTGGTATCATTGAATCATATTTAGGGTGCAATGAATGCATAAAGGAAAAATCTATTTGGACTGAGTTATAGTGCCATACTAAAAACATGTGAGTTGATTCATGAATAATTTATCAGGTTTCTAAGGTGAGGGCATTTAGGTAAAGGAACTGGCTATGCAAATGTGCTGAAATGTAAGAAGTAACAACAAATTTAGTTTTATGGGAGCATGATTTCTTCGTAGGATGGTTGAAGACAATGCTGGAGAGGCAGATTATAGGTGTGTTTAGGACCTGATATTTTGTCTCCTGTAGTACATGGTGTCAGACAGGTAAAGTAAATGAGTAATAAGGATAGTACTGGAGACCAGAGATAAAAGATAGGAATGGCTGTGTGGAACTTGATTGCTCATGTTTGTCTAAGGGGGCAGTTCTAGCTAAACGTAGCCATATGGCTAATGTGGATCCAGTGTTACCAGGTCTTTTGTTTTGTTTTTAAATAGAAAAGCAGGAATCTATATTTTTAAAAATGTGAAATCTCCAGATTTCTAAATGTTGACAACTAATTTTTTTTTTTTTTTTTTTTGGTACTGGGGATTGAACCCAGGAGTGCTTAACCACTGATATACACTCCTGGCATTTTTAGTTTTTATTTTGAGACAGGGCCTCACTAAGTTTTTGAGGCTGGCTTCGAATTTTCAATCCTTCTGCCTCAGCCTCCAGAGTCCATGGGATTACAGGTGTGCACCACCATATCCAGGTGGTTTTTTTTAAATTCAAAGCTTTAGCCAATATTGCACCGAATACAACATGTCTGTTTGCTACATGTGGCCTGTAGGCTGTCATTATGAGACCTGTGTTGTAGGGGATAAGGCTTGTGGAAACAGAGAAGGTAATTGAGGCAACACTTTAAGACACCCAAACATTTAAAAGAATAACCATTGTCTGGGGATGTATCTCAGTAGTAGACTATTTTGCCTAGCATGCACAAGGTCCTGAGTTTGATCCCTGGCAGTCCGCCCTCTCACAAAAAAAAAAAAAAAAAAAAAAGGCAGAGGAAAAAAGAAAAACCACATAAAAACCTCACTGGATTGCTCCACTGAACTATTTCTATTGCACAAAGTGAGGTCTCAGGTCAGATGCAATTAATTCCCAAGTCTTTAAGGGCAACAATGCAAACAAGGGTCTCAGTCAAGCTGTTAAAAGCCTGGTAGAACACGGGTAAGCTGAGACCAGTATGGCCCCTGAACATCATTACCACCACCACCACTACCACCAGAAGATGGATGTCATTTGTTCCCCTTTCATTATGGAATAAGAAGGGGTGGCCTCTTTAAACCAAGTATGTAACAAAGTCGTCATAGGCAGTGATGAGACAGATAAAATACGATTTAATAGCTGTTCAAACTCTTCATTTTTCATTTGGAGAAACTAAGGCCCTCCCAAAAGCATGGTGACTTGCTAAGAAAGACCCAGCAAACTAGTGGCAGAGTCAGGATTCCTGACTCTGGTCTAACATCCTTTCCAATAATCCTAGACTGTGATAATTAAGGTAAATCAGCCTGGCAGTTTTCCTAGCATCTAGAATTCCTGGTCTGGACAAGCAGGACTTGAGAGCAGCTGTTAAAAGTCTTCCTTTCCCCTTATCTGTATTATGATGATGATATTCTTTGTAAACTTTCTATTTCATGGATTAAGGTTAAAGAGAGGACAAAAAGATGTTTTTGAAGCACTGAGACAATTCACAAAGGGTAGGGAAGAAAAGTTGTCTGTGGCTAAACTGTTTAAGGCTTATGACCTCTGTGCTCTCTGTGCTGACCTTCCCGCTGCATGCTTTTGGTTTTGTTTTGGTTCTTTTCTTTTGTCTTCTTTTCTATTACCCTCTATATTTTTCTTCTCTCTCATCAGCCTAGATCTTAGGCCTACCCATAAGTGCTCCAGGGCATCACTAAACCTCCTTGATAGCACTCAGGATGTCTCCTTCAAGTCAATAAAATTGCTAATTATTCATTCCTCAATAAAATACGAATGAGAGCACGTAGCGGCTAAAACACCATGCATGATTCCTCTGCTACAATCATTTAGCTTTCTAAAATCTGAGACTAGTAACTCTTGTCAATTGTGACTCTTGACTTAAATAATCCTTTCCATCCTTCATTTCAGGGTCTATTGTTCTGACATTTGTCACTTTTTTTTCCCCTCTGAACCCGTTTCTGATTGGTGCAGCTGTTGAAGATGCTGCAGTTGCAGCAGTGTACATCTGGAACATTTGGCTGACTTGTTGAACTTCCCCCAGGGAGTACTCCAGGGGAAGGATGGGAGGGGTGGAGAGGCCAGAACAGTTGCCTGCAAATAGAGATGCCAATAGTGTCTGGCCATTCTGTGGACCACCCTTGTAAAAATCCACCTTACTGTGCCCCTCAGTTTCCCCATTTGCTCCTTGAAGACACATGTTCTCCACTTAAAAGTTCCCCAGTAGTGGAAGAGGAGAAACTATTCTGACTGTGGATTTTCTCATGCAGCACCTTCTGCTTTGTGAAAGGGATCAATATATATTTGTTAAATTAATTGGTGTATCAAGAAATCCTCAGAGGCAGTTTTTGCCTTTCAAAGGCCAATATCACTTCAGTTCCACTTGGCACAAGTTGCCTTCTCCATGACTTAGATGGAGCCCCCAGACACACTCCAGGAGGGAGGCTGCTTGATTCCCAGTCCCTTTGGCTCCCAGGCTCCTAGGTCTCCTTTTCTTCTGGCGAGCCATTGGATTGCAAACACAGCAGGCATGGTTTCATTCCAAACCCAGAACTGTTTTAATTAGTTTAACGTCTGTTAAACGCTTTGAAGATTGAAAGCAACAGATAAATACTGGATGATGTTATTAACAACTGCAGTTAATTGCAAACATTTCTATTAATGCTAGTTCCTGCCTCCTTTTCTTTGCTGTACCTTCTTTCCAAGGTTCCCAAATTCTTCTCAGCCCCCCTTCCCTCCCCCGTACTGGCGCTAAAGGGTTAAACCGGGGCGGAGTCCAGAGATGAACGACAGCAGGAGTCACCAACTGGTACGGGGCAAGCGGGAAGAGCTGGGTGGGGCCCTCAGGGAGAGGCGAACTCTCACGCCCCCAGGCCCCGCCCCGCGGCCAGAGGCCCGGGTAGAACAGCAAGGGGCGGGGCGCTGAGGCTTGGCGGGCTCAGTGGTTGGGCGTCCTGGCAGCCCCTTGAGGGATGGGGCGGGGTCGACCGGACCTCCTCCCTCATTCCCTCGGCGGGCGGAGCCGCCCCTCTCTCCCGCCCCTCCTCCTCCCTTTCCCACCCCTCGGAGTGGAGCTGCACATGCGGCTGCTCCCTGTTCCGTCCCGCCCAGCCACAGTCGCGCAGGCACGGGTCCCTGCAGCCCCCAGCCGATGGCAGGACAGTAGTCGCCTGTCAGGGGTTGTGAACGGCAGAGGCAGACGCAGCGGCTCCCGGGCCTCAGAGAGTGGGTGTCTCCGGAGGCCATGGGCTACCCTGAGGTAGAGCGCAGGGAACCCCTGCCTGCGGCAGCGCCACGGGAGCGGGGGAACCCAGGCTGCGGCTGTCGCGGGGCCCCTGCCCGGGCGGGCGAAGGGAACAGCTGCCGGCTCTTCCTGGGTTTCTTTGGCCTCTCGCTGGCCCTCCACCTGCTGACGTTGTGCTGCTACCTAGAGTTGCGGTCAGAGTTGCGGCGGGAACGGGGAGCTGAGTCCCGCCTTGGCGGCCCGGGCACCTCTGGCACCTCTGGCACCCTGAGCAGCCCCGGTGGCCTGGACCCTGATGGTCCCATCACCCGCCACTTTGGGCACCCGTCACCTCAACAGCAGCCGTTGGAACCGGGAGAAACCACACTTGCCCCTGACTCCCAGGACCGGCACCAGGTGAGTCACCTAGTAGGGGCGGCGGTGACGGTGGAGGCCCCCTTCCCTGGTGAGTAGGGCGGGGGCCCTCCACCACAAGGCCCGGAGGGTACTCTGCCACTTGGAACCAAGTTAGAGGGCAGGATCAGGGAGGGGGCAGACGAGCCGGAGAGAGGTTGTCCAGGGCAGGTTGTCTGTCCTGGGTCGCTGGCTCAGCTCGCTCAGACTCTCTCAGGTCCCCTTGACTTGGAAACTCTAGCCTGCGCCCGCCGCCCGGGGCTATGTGCTGCCTTGGGAAAAGTTGGCGACGCTCCCGCCCGGGCTCGGCGAGGAGGTGCCCGCGCTGCCCCCCTAGCTGACTAACGGCGAGCAGCTTGGCCCTTCTGCTCTTGCTGAGATTCTCTGCCCGCGGTGCTTGTTTTTTCGCGTCCAGAGTTGATGCCAGCACTAGCAAACTCTTCTTTGGAGTTGGAGTTGTAAACAGCTGAAATAACTGCTCCACGCCCGTTGAAACAACTTTTAACCACACTTTCAGCGCGGGGTCCTTGTGCGCTGACCAGAACGTGGGCTTGTTCACACTTACCTGCAATTTGAGACTGATTGTCCTCGGCGTTCTAGTGAGGATCAGCGCCCCTGAGGAATTCTGGTAGAAATATGCCGTCTTGCTAGACAACTTCTGAACAGCAGTTTAAAAAATCTATGGAAATAAAACTCACCCTTTGCATGCCGGTTCTGACTTATTTTTTATTATTTGAATGGGGGTGTTGCGTTTTGGAAGGTGGGAGGGAAGCGCTTTCGTTACTGCTAGCTTAAAAACAGGAATCTACCAATGGAACTCAGGAGTAGTCTCCCAAGTGCAGGTTTTTTGTTTTTTTTTTTTTTTCAATTTTTATGGTGTTTGTGCCTCTGTTAGCATACCATTAACTTTGGTGTTTCGTTTCTACTTTCTCCTAGCTCTTTATTCAAGTAAATTTAGTGCAGTTAATATAAGTATTATCTTGATTGCCATATTTTGTCTTACATGTGAAACTTAGAAGAAGCATCCAGTGATCCTTTGGAGCTGGTTAAAGGAAAATAGTGAATTTGTACTTCTTGGAGAAGAGTGCAAGTTGTGCAAATAAGTTCCTCAAGTTGAGGGACCTCAGCCTTCTATACCTACTACTATATCCAGAATCATTGTCACAATTCTTAAACCTTATTTGTGCTACTTTGTCTTTCCATCCAAAGTTGTATGATTGATAGTGGCATCACATTCATGATACTTACTGTGATGTTGGGACTGTCATTTTTCTTTTTTACAATGTGCCTTGTAAACTTGCCCTGAGCCTTAAAATGTCTTGCTAGCACACTCCAACTTATATAACAGCTTATCAAAAAAAGAATCAGCAGACATGCTTCTCATACTTGAAACTTTAAACACTGTAGGTAAATGATAATTAGCCAGGATTCTGGTTCCTTTATTTACCCCCTTCTCCATGCCCAATAGAAATACTTAGCAGCTGAACATAGATATTCTGGGAAAAGATGAAGGAATTCATCTTTCTTAGTCAAATGGTGGCCAAGACTTTTTGGCATTCAGGATGGATAGAGCCATGTTTATAGACTGAGGATTAGTAGACAGCTGTACTCTAGGGCTTCTGTGATGGCATGAGACTCTCACAGGTTTGCAATGATATTTTAGTTGCCTGCCATTTGGGTAGCACTAAAATAATTTTGTCTAGGTTTAAAACAAAACTTTCTGTCTTGTGTCTTTTACTGTTTTCATCTTTCTGAACAGTAGAAGCAAGGATACTGGCTCTCTAGGTTTGTTGACATCAATTTTGAATTGGAGGTTCTTAAGAGTTGTAAGGGGCCACCTAAGTATTTTATTTGATTCCCTTGAAGAACATAGGCTCTAAGAGGAAAGTGACTTGCGTGAGATCAAATAGAGTCAAAACTAGGATGGAGTCGCTCTCCTAATTTGCAGTTTAGTGCCCATTCCCATGTAGCATTCTACATACTGAGCCATTTTTTTTTGGCAAAGAGAGGGAATAGGGTGGAGCTCCATAGTAGAATTTTTACAAAGCAGAGGGCACAGATTTATGTCATTTTGTTTTACTCTACCTACATTTTGACCAGACTAAGTTTAACCCTGTAGTCCTTATTCATCCTAATCTTCACTTTCAGGAGACTTAAGAGTATACTCTGGAAGGATTCCAGCTCAGATCCAATTTCAGTGTCTTTAGAGGATATTGGTTTTAGTATATGATAAATAAATGCATGAATAAATAAATAAAGGAAAAGTTGATTGAGTATTAAATTAGTACTACTACATCCTGGGTAAAAGTTCTAGTGCCCTGGTGCACCCTCTGCTGGCTTTGCAGGGACATTTAATTGCAGTATCTGCTGACAGTCAAAATTCTAAGTTGTGCTGACAGATTCTGATTCATAAATAAGGAAGTAAACAGCCTTGTGGGATTTGGCCACGTAGGTCATATTTTTATATTTTAGTTTTTCAACCCAAACAGCTGCTATTACAGCAACTCTTGGATAGAGAGGAAGAAAGATAAAACTATGCACCCTCCAATGGGCAATGTATTCAGGTTTCTCACCAGTTTATCTGCAAGGAATGAAGGCAAGCTGACAAGAATAAATGGCAGGAATATCTCACAAGATCTAGTGAGCAGAACAGTCTGAGGGATTTCATTGCATAAGGTCATTGCAGTTAGGCAAAAGTAAACCTATCCATGCTTAGGAGATGATGGGCTCTAGACTCTCAGTTATGACTCAAAAAATGGATCATAGAAACCACTGTAAATGTCATAACTTGATTTAAAAGCTTTTAAAACTAGATACAGAAGGAAGTCAGTGCAGTGAGGATATAAAGTAGCGAGAACAACAAAGTTTCTCCAAGGAAAATATTAAGAAAGTCTTCTAAGTAAGGGTATGGTTACTGATGATAAAAAGTGAGAGAGTCACCTCAGACTTTTTGGAATCATAATTGTCTCCTGTGGCTGGAGCAGCTGAGTAGCTATAGATTTATTTGGATACTTGGTGGAGGTAATCTTAAGGGCTAGAGACATCTTATTAGTATCTGAATCAGATAATAAACAATATAAACATAAAATAATAATCACTGGCTCATTCTACAGAGTAGTTGGTCCAGTTGTGATTGTGCTACTCAGGGGTCAAGAATGTAGTGGGCAGCCTCAGAAAGTGAGTCAACAAAACACAACCCTTATCTTTTCCATGTAAAAGATCAAAAGTGAATTTTCACCTATAACCAGACAGAAAAGTTTGGTGGCTATTCCTCAAGAAAAACCTAACAGCTGATAAAAGTCCCCAGAAACCAAATTAAGTTGATCAAAAAGATGGAGGTGTATCCTAGTTGTTGTTTTCCGTCTGGAGAGAGAAATGATCAAAGTCTTCCAAATCAAGTGAGAGATGAGTATGGTTAACATGTTGGTGTAATTTAATAATCCAATTCAGTAAATAGAAAGTCTGATATGCCAGATACAAAATTAGTATTAGATATCTTTTAATGCCAGGAAATGATTTTAGGAGGGAGATAATTAAAGGTAGTATCTCATTCAACTCATTGCCCCAAGTGATAGTCTAAACTATGGTTAAAACAATAAGAACTTATTCAGTACTTTATTCAGTACTTATTCAGTATTTGAGATTTGTTTCCTAATTACCTGAGGTGATGTCATAAAAGTCAACCTTAACTTTCTACAAAACATTTGTTGGTATAACTAGATAAACCATTAGTATATCCAGATTTGATATACTATGTTAAGGCTGACTGATCACGAAAATAACTAGGTGTGCCAGGCATGGTGGCATGCTCCTATAATCCCAATAACTCAGGAGGCTGAGTCAGGAGGATCACAAATTTTCAGCCAGACTTAGCAATTTAGTAAGACCCTCAGTAACTTAGACCTTATCCCAGAATAAAAAAAGAAGGCTGGGGATGTAGCTCAGTATTTAAGTGCTCCTGCATTCAATCCCTAGTACAAAAAGCAAAACAAATAAAAACAAACAAAAGAAAAAGAAATTAAGTAGGTGATTCAAGGTGAACATAATGAATGAGCCCACAAATTATTTTAGAGATGTGTGATCCACATGAAGTGGTTTTCTATGGGTTTAACTCCAGAGTTTTCAGTGTGACATTCAAGGTTCTTGATCAGCTGGCTTCATTATACCCATATTATTTTCTGATTCTCTGACTTTATTTACTCCTGTAAGCCATTTGCTATATTCTATCTTGGGATCATTCTCTGTTGTTATTGCTATTGTTTTTAATAAAAAATGTGTCTTTACATTGGAACTCCTCAGAAATCTATCTTCTATTGTCTTTTTCCACAATGCCTTTTCAGTGCTAGTTACAGTTTGGACATTCAAATACTTGTTAAGTTGAATATTATTTTGGAACTTTGGGGATGTTTATGTAAAACAAAGACATTTTCTTTTTATAAAATAGGCCTCTTTTCCTCAGGTCTTGCTAAGCCTATGAACTGTCAGCTATGCTTAGGTGAGTAAGTAATTCCAATGGTAATGTTTCACTGGTTTCTTAAATAGTTAGAAAGTGAAATAGAGAAGAGCCCCAACCATGTGTTCATTTCCCATTTTCACACCTTCCTCTAAGGTGGTGCAAAAAGCTTTCTGTAATATATTGTTTGATGTTTTATTTGCTCTTAGGTCTCATTTCTTTCTCTTTTTCTCTTAGATCTTGTGAAAAATGATCTATAATTTATCTGTAACTACCTATGGAGAAAATCTCTTTATACTACAGAACTTCTGAAGTCACTTAATTCCCAAGAATATTACCAAGAGAAACCAATTGCTTTGCCTACAGGGCAACCCTCCTAGAGGACTGTCTTTATCTGACTCCTCTATAAATTCCTAGCACTTAGCTCTTCATTTATTTTCCTTTGCAAGTTCAAAACCTTTCCTTTTCTTTACTTTTGTATTGAAGTATAACATACATACAGAAAAGTGCACACATCATAATTGTAGAGATTGATGAATTATTACACGGT